GTGTGGAATTACAAATCAAGGGAATGAAGGCTGATCAGTATTTAAAAATATTACCTGCATAAACATTTTTTAAAAACAAAAAAATATTTATTTCATTATTTATAGAAAGCACTCCAGCAAACTTGTCTCATGGGTGGTACTTATTTAAAAGCTATCTTTGTTTCATGGTATTAAAAGAAATCTTTTACTTCATGGCTTTTTACCTGTTGCAGGGATGGTTTCTTCTTCTCAGTGTTTTTTTTTTTTTTTTTGTAATAGCTTAATTTAATATTATCATAAATTATGTCATCAGGAAAGTCATGATGCATTTTTGCATAGAAAACTATGTCATGATTTTCCGATGGCCTAATATTTCTAACAAACTTACGACACAGTTTTCTTAAAGTGGAATTTTGTATTTCTGCTATATTTTCCTGGCTACAAACAAACAAAAAAACAAGCAGTTGATTTGAGTGAAACTTTATTTACACTGTGTGCCCTGCTGGTTCTGGAGATGGGGTGAGCTGCAAGGTCTCTTTCTCTCTCTTTAGCAACTCCTATTCTCTGCCTGTTCTTTCAACACCACCATCACTAATACCACCACCATCTTCATCAACACCATCATTGTCATCATATTTTCTTCTTCATCTGCACCCCCACAATAAATCCCAGCTCTAAGCCATTTACTTACAAATGCCATCTTATGTTTCTTTATTCTAACTATAAAATCAGTTATCAAGTATCCTATTTTCACAGATGAGAAAATTCAAGTCCCTAAAAACACAAATAGCCCGACCTAGTTTTAGTCAAGATGCACACTCAGAATTAGTACGAACTTCAAAATGTATGCTTTTAAACACCATGCCACCCTCATCTTTGTGAGAAGTGCCATTGCGAAGCGCAAGTTACTTGAATGGGACCCTGTAGATGACTGCAGATCTTTAAAACTCCAAAAGAACAAGACTAACTCTTTACGCAGTTAATGAGAGGAATGACAATGGCTTACCCAGTTTTTCTTTTTCTTCTTCTTGGAGTCAGCATCATTACCACTGCCAATGCTGGAATGGCTTGTGGCACTGTTGATACTAGATACACTTTCAGAAGAATGCTGTCTTCTGATGCGGAGATCTGGCAACACAGAGAAGTATCACATTTGCTCACAATCTGGATAGATAACGTTTTCTAGGCTTTCTGAGAGAGAGAGTTCCCTAATAAAGGTCAACAAGGCTTTTGTACAGAACATTTCAGTACCATTTTGAATTTATAAATTTAATGAAATATAACTGTAGATTCTCTAATTAACTGAGTTTTCTATATTAAGATTCAATGGGAATCTCATATAAGTCTGTAGCACTCGTGGTTTAATAGGTTCTTTTCCAAAAATGAGATGCTATGCTAAGGATTTTTACTGAGTACCTGGATCTCCTTCCAAAATGATTTATTTTAAATGATTAGTTCCATGAAGTAAACAGAAACTCATAACAGGATAAGAATTAATTGTGCCTTTTTAGTATTTATGCAGTGACTCAAATTACCAAAGCCAAATACATTAAACTTTCCATTTCATTAGACTCATACCATGCTAAACCCAAAACAAACCGTGGAAGTTATATAAGCACATCATCTCACAGATGAGAAAATCAAAATGCAAAGAAGTTAAGTAACTTGACCAAGGTCAAAAAGCCAATGACAGAGTCTAAGTAGAATGAGTTTGTGAATTAAATAGAGAACATATTTAAGATAGTACAGTTGTCCAACATACCCTAGTTTCTGTACATGGCTTAGAATAGTAACACTAATTAAAAAAAAAGGAATAATAAAGCTTGCTTTTATTAAGTGCGTAATATGTCTCCGGTATACCTAATTTTATTTTAACCGCAAATTACTGAAGTGAGTTTAATTACTAAATATAATTTGCACATGGTCACACAGCTGAGAAATAGCGACTCCAACTTCAGACCTGGACTGATTCTAATCACTGTTGTACTACCTGCATGTAAATGGGTTTGTTATACTTATAAAAAAGAGGTAGTGCTTCTGTAGTAACTCAAATTATTTTGAAGAGAATATTACTTGATAATTTTGGGAAAGAATGTACTTAGTCCATCCAATCACTTTATAAGATTTATTTATGGTTATTAAAATGAAAACAAATTAAAATCTCATCTACTTACAATGAACTGATAATAAGTGTTAATGACACACTGAGAATTTATAAGATTTTTTTTTTTTTGAGAGGTTTTTGCTATGGGGCGCGTGTGCTTGTCGGAAGGACAGAGAGAGATGAAGAGACAGAAAGCAAGAAATCACCCCCCGTGGGATGGATGACTATGCTGTAATTCCTTCTCCTCCATTCTCCTCTCCGGATCTTGGGCACACAGGCACACGTGTCCAGCGTGTCCAGCCTGAGTTTATTTAAGCCACCAGATCCGGGACTCGAACCACAGTCGACTACATGGGAGTCCAGTGACATAGCCATTACGCCAACTGCTGGTCCCAGAATTCATAAGAATTTTTTAAAGTTCAATTTTGCTTTTAGGCTACTTCTAACAATATATTTAATTGGCATCAATACATATTAGCCAAGCAAAAAACTCAGTGGAACTTATAAGATGTCAAAAATTACTATAAATTCAAAAAGTTTTCATGGAGATAATAATATAAAATCAAGTATTTCCAGTTCACTGACTTATTGAATGATAAAAATCACCCATGGCAATGATATCATAACTGATTATTTTTAAAATATATAATAAATAATTATGTATATGTATATATGTCTAAAATAAAATATATACATAAAACACATGAATAAACACATCATCTATCTCTATATATATGTATATATCCTCATATATGTCTATATAAATATCAATAAGTACCCTAATATTTTTTATTAAGTAGTTATACTGACAATTTATAGCAGGAAAATGTTACTTGTCAGTATAATTTTCTTAGTTATTTTTAAAAATTATTATGACAATATTTGCTGTTTTTGCATGCCAAAAGTGTTACTAATCCTGAAACCTGAATTGAGTTATTTATGCTGTTTTAATTCAATAATAAAGGAACCAAATACTCCTTAAGCAACTAAAATGAAAGTTATATGAATAAAAATAGAAGAATATGTGTAGAAATCCATTTTTTTAAATTTCTCCTATAGTTGGCAATGAGCTTTTCAGAACAAGATGTTTTTTCTAATATTTCCTAGCTTTTTCCTAATAATTAACTTTCACCAATAGAGAAGATGTATAAATAAACTGTTAAAGTATTCAGAGCTTTTATTACATCTAGAATTAATAAATTGCATTTGACTTCTTTGATTAATCTCAAATTATAAAACAATAGGTGAAGTAAATAGGTCAAAAGTAGTTCTTGGAGGTATTAGTTATCTTCAGCTTTGACTGTATGTACCAATAAAGATTAGTAAAGGCATACTTCTAATAAGACTATAGAATGAAAAGGATGTACTTTACGTTTTTGTAACAATTCTATCTCATAAGTATTTGATTCAGTACATGGAGCATCAAAGAGCTCAGTAAATAAAGGATAAACAAATGAGTATCAACTATATGAATGAATGAAGAAGCCTATTCCCAAAGTGTAAATTTCGATTTTGTTCACTTACTCATTTTCCACTTCCCACCCTCTGCACTACCAGTGTCCCAAGTCAAGCTACATATATAATTTACCTGCTCTCCAACAGAGATTGATACTTTACTCATTCACCTTCAAACCATTCTACAAAAGTAGCTAAAGCTATTCTTTTAAAAGAAAAACTTCATTGTTCTCTAATATCATTCCATAGATTCTCATTTTAATAAGAATAGAAAAAAATTCTAACTCTCAAATACAGTTGAAAATTCATTAATAATCTGGTCAATACTTATCTGTCCAACCTTGTTCTACTTATTTGGTCATTATCTTCCTTGTATAAGTTCAATAAAGACACCAATGTATTTCTTACCTCAAGGCCCCTGTAGAATGCTCTATCCCCAATATTTGCAATATGACTTCATAATTATTCCTTATATACTGCTAATTTGGAATGGCCTTTCCTGACTATGCAATCTTTAGTAAATTCAGTGGGAACCTCCTTTTCTATGGCACCTTATCTTGTCCATATTAGAACGTATAAATATTTTTAGAAACCAGCAGTTAGAGTAATGGCTATGTCGCTGGACTCCCATGTACTCGACCGTGGTTCGTGTCTCGGACCTGGTGGCTTAAACTCATGCCGGGCGTGTGTGCGTGCGTGCCCAAGATCCCGAGATCTGTCTCTTTGGTGAGCGCACGCGCCCTATAGCATAAACCTCTCAAAAAAAAAAAATAGAACTTATATTTTTGTGTACCCATTCAGCTACCCAAATAATCACACACAATTATTTTCTGCTATCCCACCAGACTAGAAGCTTGATGACGACACAGACTGTGTCCATTTTGTTTACCTTTATACTCATTATCTTCCTAGGACCTTTTACAGAGTACGGCATGTAATAGGTAACCAATATGTAGCTGCTGAACAAATTTTTCAATTCAACACAACTATATTTTCCTACCATTATCTATAAAAATTATTTACTGTTGACAGCAACTTAATACGTATGCTATTGAACTATTCTTGGTAATTCCAAAGGAAAAACAATTCCTTGTTTACACGACTAATTTAAAAATAGAAGTACATTTATCTACTTTGAAAAGTACAAGTAGCCTTTTAACAGTTATGTTTGTTATATTATTATAAACATATATGATTTACCTTTGATAGTAGTGAATTACAAACCTCTTGAATACAGAGGCATTCTTTCTTATCTTTATATTTCAAGACCTAATAAAGTATATAGCAAGCACTTAAACATGTTTGTAAATGAATAAATCAATTTATTTTAGTAAAGACTGTTATTACTTTTTTTTGACTTTGTTAATAAATGTGATACATATGTTTACAGAACTAGGAAGCACACTAATAAATTGGTTAGTGATTTTTGCTAGTTTGACCTGTTTATAAAAGTATTACTTCATTCTAAATAGATAAGTTAAGATCATATGCTAAAAATGTATATAACATTAATATTTTAAACGTCGTAAAAATGAATTTCAATGTAACTTCAAGAATACAAATGTAATATAGGCTATAAAAGCACCTTAATAACCAATGGAAAGATACAATTCAAATATATTTATATCTTTTGATACAAATTTAAGGGACTAGTTGTTCCATGTAATATGAACAGTCAATATGATAAGAATCACTTTGTATTCTGATTTAATAGTGAGTTTTAACATTACAGAAATCTAATCTAAGTGTCCTGTATACATTCAGTCCTTTAGTCGTTTTTGTTCATTTTAAAACTTGGCAAATTATGTTTTAATATTTCTTAAATGATTTGAATTTAACTTTTATCATTTTGTTTATCACAGGCAACAGCCCTCCCACATTTCTGAGCAAAGGAATTTCTATTTTTTAATTCCGGTAGATAGATTAAGCCACCTGTTGCTTAAGATAAAAGGAATCCTTCCAGAAAGTTTCACTTCAGTGACTTGTGCTGTGTTAAAGAAAGGATTAAGCCTTTTTAAATCCCTTCTGGACCTATTTACAACATGAAGATTTAGAACATAAGCTGCTTTATTATAGCTCTAAGATAAGCTTTAAATATGCAGTAATTTTCCATGCAGCATATAAATCAACTCCCCCACATGGAAAGTTGCTAAATTCTTAACAGAAGTAGCCCCTAGAGAAATACTTTGTCCTTCGATTAAAGTACACCTTACTTTATATAATTGTTTTTCTAAACTTAAATTCAAGTACATATTTTAAATTACATTATTCTTTTCTATAAAATTTGAATAAGACCCTGTTAGGTATAAGACATTATCATAGGCACTAGGGTGAAAAAATATTAAATATATAAAAACTCCACCAAAAATCAGGAAAGGTAGACTTTAAATAAAGTTACTGAAAGTAAAATGCAAATTTTGGTAAAAGAAGTACAGCTATTTCCAGAAACATATCTCAGGAGCCTCATCCAGTTTAGGGGTGAAGGAGACATATTTCAGCTTACTTCTACAATGTCTCAAAAAATTTTATGCTGAACAAACAATGCATAAAAAATGTGAAAAATAAGAAACTCAGGATAGAATAAATATAGAATATATAACATAACAAAAGAACAAGAGATAAGGTCAACAAAAATATCTGGCACATACTTGGTCATCAATAAATATTTGTTGAATGAATGAAGCTGGCAAAGAGAGATTATGTCATGTCTAATAGTTTGTATTTCATCAGAAAGGAAATCAGATGCCTACGGATACACACTTCTAGACACCTGTTCTGGTGTGGAGTGGGATCAGATTAAGAGCAGAAGGCTACTTAGAAATTTGTGGTCGAAGTTCAGAGGAGAGATGATGGGTGATGATAGTAGGATGAGAGAAAACTGAACAGATGAAAGAGACAGTTAAGGGATGGGCTCCACAGAACTTGATAATGTACTGAATCAGGAGAGGAGGAGACATGCATGATATCTATCTTCCTGGCCATGTGGAAGGATAGCAATGTACTTTACTGGGACAAAGAGCACCAAAGGAGAAGCAGGTCTGAGGTAGAAGAACACATGTTCACCTTTAGAGATGTTAGGTGAAGGTGCCAAACAGATGTCCAAAGATATCCTACTGGAGGCTTTCCTTGGTAGCTGATGAATATCTAGATCTCTATTTCAAGACATGGGTATGGTCTGGATATATACACTTGATGGTTTTTAGCACATGAGCAATAATTATAACTACAGTACTAGATGCATCTATAGAATCTTAGGTAGCCTATAGACAATTGTAATGACAGAATTTAAGTGTAAGCTAGCTTAGCATATCATTATTCAAAATTAATAGATACAAAAGACTGAGCCAATAAAAGAAACTTTGAAAGGCATTTCAAAGGAAGAGAAAGAGAACCCACAATGATATTATAAACATTTTTTTAAAAAATGAGTATTTCAAAAAGAAGGGAATGGACATCAGAATTAAATGCAGTTGCCAAGTCTAATACAAATATTTTTAAATGCTTTACTGGATTTAGTGTTGTGTAAGTCACTACTGATCCTCCAGAAAATAGTATTAGTGAATGGTGGGAGGAGAAGTTAAACTCCAGTGGATATTTGACAGCTGAAAATATTAAAAGATTCTATAACCTGTTTCCTAGAAATTATGTGGAAATTGGAAAAGAGATGATAGAACATGCAGGATTTAGGGAGAGATTTTAATCTGGGAGAAAATTGAGTGTACGAAATGCTTTGGAAAGAATCAAGACATGAATAAATAGGACCGATGCAAATAAAAAAAAAAATGACATGACATCAATAATGACCATTTCTGCAGTGGCAAGCCAAGAGTTGGGGTGGTGGCAGAGAAGACCATCTTCATTATTTGGAATTGTTGGAGCATAGTTATAATAAAAAGCAGGCCAAATTCGAGTCCATTATCTTATTGTTAAATCAGCAATGGGAACTGTACCTTCTTATTGGCCCCACCCAGGAGAAGTTATTCCTCATGCCTTTTGCTTGGTATATCAACATATTAAGTTTCTATCCAGACCTCTATGAATATACTCACAACTAGATTGGTTTTGCTTCAAGTCAGATATGCATGCATTCACCAGTCATCGCATCCCCATCTTCACCAAATCAAGTAAAGAGAAATGAATGTGTGACTATAGCAGTAAGTTCCTTGAGGTTGATGTAAAAATGATTTGATAATGAAAACTACTGTTCTCAAATATTGGGATTCTGATCACATTAATATCAACTTGCTCATTATATGGTCATGCCACTGAGCAAACGTAGCTTTAATAAAAGAATAAACAAATAGATGTCTATTGTATGTGGATGAAAATAGAAATGTTTCTTAATATACCTTTGGGAGGGTGGTCTGGACCATTCAGGGCTCCCTGAATGGCAGCCTGGGCAGCAGAGTTCTGGGCCTTCAGCATTTCAATGGTTTCTCTGAGTTCTATGAGTTCAGATTCCTGTGGAATAAATGAAGTTTAGAAAGGTTAATACCTTGAGAGAGAAATAGAATGTATTTATTCATAGTTCACTATTAAATTGGTTTGATTTTATGGAGTGCCAAAGTCCTCAGGGATTTGGTTACTTGTTATATCTCGAGTTAGAACTAACAATTTTTTTCTTAAAGGATTTAGTTTTTCTTTTAAAAATTATTTTCTATTCTTTCTTTCAAATGGAGGTGCCTAGAGCTTACTACTACAAAGTAAAGGAAGATATCAAATCATTCACATTAGATATCAAACTTAACAATCTTACCTATGATTACATTAGCTATTTAGATATCAAAATTATACTGTTGCATTGCACTTCATTTATAGTCAATGGGAAACTGACTTTTTGTCAAGTGAGTAATTTCAGATTTTTTCTGAAGTAGCTTGAACTTGGGTAATTGATTCTCTGCATTCAAGTGTCAAAGTTGGAACTCAATCCTGTTATATGTCATCATTTAAATTCTTCTGGCATATCAAAATAATCATAGATTCTGATATTTTTCATCTAATTAAATTCCTAGTATGGAGATCCAGAGACTCACCAAGCCAAAGCAACATAAAAATAGGGGAAAAGTGAGTAAGACTACAGTCCCCAAATAATAAATTATCTCAAAAAATCAGCTGACTATTCAAATTTTGATAAAGCTCATATTTTCTTTTTGAAAGAAAACACTATTAGGATGAACATAAAGCCTTTTTCAAATCATAATGATGATTTAATATATATATTCCATATCTTAAAATCATATAAAAATCATTGCATAAATTTGGTCATTCACAGTTTTGGTAAATAATTTTGCCTGAAATGACTCATTATGAGGAAGATAACCAAAATAAATAAAGAACAAAGAGAGAGGGAAAAGAAGGACAAAGAAACTGAGTGTTGTTTCTGCATAAGCGATATTTCCATTAGAAAGTCAATAACAAGGGATATTCTTTTGGTGGTGATGCAGCCTTAAAAATTAGATCCTGTCGACCTCTTCCAGGGAAAATTCCTCGGTAATATATTTGTCACTCATCATTTTCTCTAGCACTTTCAGCAGAAAGTCAAAGAATCTGACTTAGGTTCTTCACTCCATGGTGAAGAGTTTGTTCTTATTTAAGGCCTCCCATAACATACAAAGGAAGGTAAAGATCACTGAAAATCACCTTTGCAGAAAATTGTCTCATACATGGGAATGTCCAGTAACAGTTCTAGCCTTAGACACTTAAAACAAAGGTAGACGATGTTAACTGAAATGTTATTCAACTTCATAACACATACATGATATCTTATAGATCTATTTTCATTGACTATTGGACATATTTGTGTGAGAGGACAGCTAGCTTTAAAAAACAAACCCACCCACAGGCTTTTGTAGTTCATAAGTTGTAGAATCTCATAATGAAATATCAATAGAAACCTCCCGGATTTATTTAGAGGTCTTCAAATACTTAACTGTAATTAATTTTTATTTATTACAGATAAAACATTTCATATTTGTGGATAATATCCTGCTATGACAGAAAAATCAGACCAAAGTAATCATAATTTCTATCTCCCCAACTTCTGTGTTCTATCCCATGCCCAACTCATGATAAAGTAACCAAAACTTACAAATTTACCATTTAACTTAACATATTTTCCATCTAAAATAAATTCTGTAAGAGACGAACTGTTTACTAGAAATTTTTCTTTTTTTTTAAGAGATGTTTTTGCTATAGGGTGCGTGTGCTCGCCAGAAAGACTGAAAGAGACAGAGACAGAAAGTGAGAAATCATCTTCCAGAGCTGATGGCCATGCTGCAATCCTTTCTCCTCCATTTTCCTCTTGGACACACATGCATACATGCCCGGAGTGGGTTTAAACCACTGGGTCAGGACTTGAACCATGGTCATTTACATGGGAGTCCAGCAACATGAACATTATATCATCTGTTGGTCCCAAATTCATTCTATTTTTACCAGGAATTTATTAAAAATGGATATTTAAAGTATCTTATGGTACATATTTAATAAAGCACAAAATTTAAATATTAATTTTACAACATAAACACTACAGTGCTTGTTGAATTTTAATTGAAATTAGATTTTTATCCTTAAATTTAAAATCAATGATGCTTTCACTGTGGATTAAAAATCTGCTAAAACATTTGGCTGTAGTTTTAAAAGAGAAAAATGGAAATGAGATCTCATGCCAGTGTCTAAAAAGTGAGCTTAATTTTGAGTTAGCTGACTTTTTCCAGTGTTAAAACTTTAATCTTTTCTAGAGAAATGTGTTTTAAAAAACCCTGTATTTTGTTTGTTTGTTTTTTTTGAGAGGATTTTGCTATAAGGCACATGCACTCGCCAGAAAGACAGAGAGATAGACAGAAAGCAAGAATTCTCCCTCCAGTGGGTATGGCCATGCTGCAGTCCCTTCTGCTCCATTCTCCTTTTGGAATCTTGGGCATGCACACATATGCACCCGGAGGAGTTTAACCCATCGGGTACGAGACCCGAACCATGGTCAACTACATGGGAATCTAGCAACGCAGACATTACGACACTTGCTGGTCCTAAAAACCTGTTCTTAAAAAACTTAAGAGTTGAGAGTTCAAGGAATGTTGCTTGTTGCGTTTGTTTGTTTGTTTTTTAGAATATTGTGTTTAATAGGACAGAAGAATGGTTGCTTTCTAAAATTAAGTATCTTTTTAAAATCAATAGATATTAGCAGGTTAGTTGTTACTCAGAGTGGCACAATAAATCCAAAGGAAGTTTAAATAAGTAAGAAATATATTTACTACATAACATTGGGAAAATCATATCAATGAAAAAATTAGTTCAGCCATATTCACATTAGTAGTTCTTTAGAAAAACTGTAAGTCGTAGTAGCACCTATAAAATATTTCACAATCTTTAATAAAAAGATAGCTAAATTCCACATTGATTGACATAATCTGTTTAAACCTGCACTAGTTATCTTTCCATATCTGCAAAAATGTCTACTTTTTTTTTTCCTTATTTCAGGTAATGAGATCTTCCCTCACGCAGTCACTCAAGCTATAACCATCTCTTTTTCCTGAACTTTTCCACATGATTATTTTACCCTTTGCTTTAAATATCCCTCCTCGCCCCATAAGACCAAGGTGAAATGTCTTCGAACATGTGAAACCTCTGTTTCTCCTGTCAAAAAAAAATAAGGAAAAAAGGAAGAACCCCTTTCGTGTGCTTCCAAGGATCTGAATGACTATTTTCTTTTAATTAATTAATTAATTAATTTGAATTTGACCAGAGAGAGAAAGGGAAAAAAAAAAAATAAAGGAAGCAAGCCATCAAGTCTGGGACTCAGCAACATGGAAGTCCAGCACCCTTAGCCACCACGCCATCTGCTGACCCCTGAGTGACTATTTTCTTAATTCTGAAGGATGACACATTGCTATGACCATTTTAGGTGCTAATAAATGAAGTTATTTGATTAAGTCTTAATGCTTTCATGAAATCCTAGTGGAAAAGCAATGGTAAAGGGGCAAGGATCTGAAATCAGGGTAAAACTCATGATCAAATTATGTCAGTATCAAAATCCACTGAATCTTAGGTAAAGTGTAGGGTTAGGCCTTGAGATAACTTCATCCTCCTGTCAGAATAGTCTCTTAATTTTCACCTGCTTACAGTTTTCTACTATGTAACATATGTCTTTGAGAAACTACTGGGGATGCTGTTAAACTATTGAAAAATAATGCTAAATTGATCTTCATGAACTAAATTTTACCGTATTAGTCCAGTGTCAAAAGTGTTTGAATGGCTTTCAGGCCAGACGGTGGGGCAGTAGTTAAATGCCATACTCCATGAGGCAAACCCATGTGGGCAGGCTTCCAGTTCAAGTCTGGAGTACTTCTCTGAGGATGCTGGGCACAGTGATCCATGATTTGGGTCTGGTTGAAGGCTAGGAGTGGATTATATTTTTAATGTCTTCCATAATTTACCCTCTTTGCTTCTCATGCACATTCTGTTTCTTTCTCTCTGACATACACTCCTACATTTTCCCTGAATTAGCATTCTTTATTCCCCCAAAGCCTGGGGAGCTCTTCTGCAGGACTTCCATTCTGTAATCATTATGAAGAAACAGAGCTCCCCTTGGAGAACTCTCGAGGCATTGTACTATTGTATTTCTAAAGGCACAGTCATTTCTGCCTACTGAGTTATTCATATCTGTCTTCTCTTTCTTTTTAGGCTGCAAATAAACCCAAACAGTGTTCTGGCACACAAATTTGGAAAGGGGATCATTTGTATTTGACATCTAGAAAGGAAAATTGTTAGAACACAATTTGAGGGACTGATTTTGGTCTAAATCAAACTAAAATGTTGATGTGGTTTCAGGCTATTAATGCCATGAGACTTCAGAAAATCACATCTTGAAGCCAGAAGAGAAGATTTGAGTCTTAGTTTAGGTTCTCTAATTCATAAGTTCGTAGTCGAGAACATGTAACCTCTCTGGCCTTTGTTTTTTCATGTGGTCCAACTTCTGACCTCACTTTCCAATATTCTCATTCTCAGCTTTACTTTTTCAATGGTGCGTATCGCCGTCCCCCCAAAAAGTATACCTTCTTTAGATTATATTTTTATCATCATCAACTAGAATATAAACTCCATGAAAAACGGAGTTTTATTTGCATACATGACTAATACGAACTTCATGAGGTGTCTGCATGTGTTTGTGAGTGTGTGTGTGTGTGTGAGAGAGAGAAAGAGAGAGAAAGAGAAAGACATTGATTGTCACTTCAAAAGGTTTGTGGGAAAATGGAATTAAAGTGCAAGTTTATTTTGGTGAAATAAAATATGAAATCCATGCATAGTATTTTTTTTTTTCTTTTGGAGAGGTTTTTCGCTACAGGGCGCATGAGCTCACCAGAGAGACAGAGAGAGAAAGAGAGACAGAAAGTGATAAATCACCCCCCAGTGGGGATGGCCATGCCGCAATCCCTTCTCCTCCATTCTCCTCTTGGGATCTTGGGCACGCACGCACATGCGCCCGACGTGAGTTTAAGCCACCAGGTCCAGGAATCGAACCGCGGTCGACTACGTGGGAGTCCAGCGACATAGCCATTATGCTAACTGCTGGTCCCATGCATAGTATCTTTACAACATATATTTTCCATAATTTTTGAAGAATCTTTATGGATGTACATATCTAGCTAGTTAGTAGATTTGTTGACCCAATAGACAGGGTCATTGAGACTAATATTAGGGATCATGTCCATCCTTTAATGTAAGGTACTGATATCTATGGTTTTAAGATTAGCTGTACTAGTTATTGTTGAATAGTAACAAATCCATTGTTCATAAGGTGGCTGGGAAAGGGAAATAAAATGTTAGGGAATAAAATGATCAGTATAGGGGCCAGCAAGGTGGCATGGTGGTTGAGGCACTAGACTCCCATGTATCTGATGTGGTAGCTTGCTTCCTCACTTTCTCTCTATCTCTCTCTCTTCAGTAAGCACATGTGCCGTATAACAAATTAAAAAAAAAATGATAACAAATAAAATTTAAAAAATAATTATTTAAAAAATGATTAGAATAATAGCTCTCTCTTTGGTAAGCACATGTGCCGTATAACAAATTTAAAAAAAAAATGATAACAAATAAAATTTAAAAAATAATTATTTAAAAAATGATTAGAATAATAGCAGGCTGGCTAAACTATCAATGTGTCTATCCTGTTTTGTTCTTACAGTAAAAGTTCAATACATAAATCTGATGAATGAGTAAATGGACAACTGAATCTTGGAACGTCAGTGTCTCCCAGTAAGAGAGTTTTAAAAAACCCTGTTCTATATTCCCCAAGCGATTTTCCAGAATTGTTGGATCGTCAGAGAGCAATATACCCTTTTATCTCAGTTCCCCAAAGAAATGCCTTTACTGAAATATGATTAAATGTTATGCCCTCAGCTTTTAGAGAAATGTCTATTTGAACAGCGATTTTTGTCTTTTGTTATTCCATGACCCCAATTTAAGAATCTTTGCAATAAATTTGTCCTTGAATTCAGTGCCCAAAAGTCTGTCTGTTCAATCTAAATTATGCTCTTTGGGTTGGGGAAAAAAAAAAAAAAAGAATAAAGCACACAAGCAAACTCCCTTTGTACCTTAGCTTCCCTGACATTCAATTCCATTCACTTCAGTTCAGTGCTTTGCAGTAGTAATTATCTAAGGTGAGGTATCTTCTTATATACATTCCTCTGCTAGTTTTTGTTAAGATTCTATCATCATAGTGTGTCATCATCATATTCATGCAATTAATGTTATAGGTGTCTCAAAACCACTCTAGAAATAGGTAAGCTACAAATCCCAAATAAATAAATAAACTAGTAAAAAAGCATTATTTTAGTGTATAGTTTGAAATTAGAATAATTATATTATTGGGTTGTTGGAAAAATCATGCAGCATTTTTTTACATAGAAAAATATGTACTGACTTTTCCAATAGCTCACTATTTTAATATAAAAAAATCTTAAGGGCAATTTCAGATATCATGATAGCTTTTTAAGAAAAATTTGTGTGACCAGCAGTTAGCGTAATGGCTATGTCGCTGGACTCCCATGTAGTCGACTGCGGTCCGCATCCTGGACCTGGTGGCTTAAACTCACGCCGGGCGCGTGTGCGTGCGTGCCCAAGATCCAGAGAGGAGAATGGAGGAGTAGGGATTGCAGCATGGCCATACCCCTGGGGGGTGATTTCTCGCTTTCTGTCTCTCTGTCTCTCTCTGTCTGTCTGGCGAGCACACGCGCCCTATAACAAAAATAAATAAATAAATAAATAAACCTCTCCAAAAAAAAGAAAAAAATGTAACTTTGGTAATGTTATTTTAAGGATAATGTATACACAATTATACAATTCCTTATTTTATGGACATATATTTTTAAATCAGGTATTATTCATAGGTATTATAAAATAACACATCTGTGTACTTTCAGATTTTATAAGAAAAATTACTTACAAATATGAGTTGCTGGAAATATAGGAGGGCAAAAATTATATTTTTATTTTTTGAAGATATTGAGATTTAAGTACTAACACCCATTTTCAGCAGTATGTATGATGACCTATGGCCAACAATGGATTTGGTTGATTTTATATTTTTCCAGGGATAAAGAGAGAAATGTGAAGAAAGGTAACACTTCTTGATTGTCCACTACATGTGATATAATTATAGTTTCTCATTTACTCCTCGTAGTGATCCTATAAGATAGTTACCATCTCTGCCTTTAAAATGATAAACTTGAAAATCGGAAAAGGTTATATATGCCAGCCAAAGATTACACAGCTCTCAGGAAACATATCCAGGAAATTCACACCCAAGATTACTGGACTACAGTGTACTACTAACAGTTCTAAAAAAAATCTGTAGTCCTGTTTACTGGGGTCTTATGCTACATTGTGAAGTAGCAAAAAACTAAGAAAAAAAAAAGATATTCATGAGCACTAAAGAGAATTGTTAGTTTTCCTACTAGAACAAGTTTGACAGGAATGGATAGAATTCTCTTTCAAGAGCAAATCTAGGAAATAAAAGAAAAATTAAAATATGGGGTTTGCTTGGTATACTAAGCAAAGATAGGAATATTAGATTTTTCTCCTTTGATTTAATTGAACTCTCTATTAAATTTAAGAATCTGTAATAGTACCCCAAATTTGTTAATATATTCCAGTTTTGTAAAGCTAATGCCTCACAGAAAGTAAAGACAAAATTTAAGCCACCCAGATAGATAAATATAGCAAGAGAGATTTGTAAAATACCCAGTGCTTTATAGATTCTGGTTCTCTTTGAGTGTTAGAAAAAATTTGTGGACTCCTGCCCATATTATGCACATAGGCAGTTTTTTGCAAAAAGTCCCCAACAATCTCAGGGGCTTCACCTGTTTCTGACAGGGCTAATAACAGGAAGTAAGTTAACTGGTCATCATAGGAAAAAGTGACCAGATTCTCTCTTGGCAGTGCAAACCTTCTCAGCATATCTCCCTTTGTGAATTAAAAGCTCTGTTCCTTCCTTTGTGGTATTCCTTCTTTCATGCCATAAACTACTTCAGGTTTATTTTCATGCTTTTGCTATAAATTGTATAACTTTACTTCAAAGCCATCATCCCCAAATGGCAACGAGTTCTTCACAGGATTGTCATTTTTCTCGTAGAAGCTGTAACCAGAAGTCTCTTAATCTGTAAGGTCCTAATATCTTCTCCAGGCACCCTTCCTAAGTATCTCAACCTAAAGGCATGGTCCATAACTGGGCTTATAGACCACCTGACATGGTCTATAATTGGGTTTATAGACCACATATCTGTGAAAATTCTTGTCAGAGTGCAATTCTTGTCAACTGCAAAATGATTTGTTACTTGGGTGCTCTTTCTCTTAGACAATTGTTTCTCTTTTGGAACAGTCAGTATTCTTTTGTCTTTTTTTTTTTTTTTTTTGAGAGGTTTTTGCTAGCAGGCGTATATGCTTGCCAGAAAGCCAGAAAGCCAGAGAGAGACAGAGAGATAGAAAGTGAGAAATCAGAAATCCCCCCCCACCCCCCAGGGAGTACGACCATACCACAATCCCTTCTCCTCTTCTCTTTGGATCTTGGGCATGCATGCACACACACCCGGTGGGAGTTTAAGCCACTGGATCTGGGACTCGAACTGCAGTTGACCACATAGGAGTCCAGTGACATAGCCGTTACGCCAACTGCTGGTCCCTAGTCAGTATTCTCTTAAGAGTCTAAGTCAGAAGTAAAGAATGTACTGTCTAGAAAGAACTGTGTGTGTATGTGCCAATATGAATGAATCTGATTGTAAGTCTTTCAATCTAAAAAGATATTATGTTGTCATTGTTGTAATTTGGCATAGAATGAATGCTTTGTAGTATTTTTTTTTTTTTTAAGGAGCTGCATTTCAGGTTTTATTTAAGCATCCCATGCAACTTGCTGTCCTCTTTCAAACCCTGGTGGCAATTACTGAACATACCTTTTGTTCTGCTGTCATGGTAAGACTTTGCAATCGGCCAGTCATATTCCCTAAACTCTTTTCGAAAGCTGCTACGAGGTGAGCCTGTGAACAAAATGGAAGGAACATAGTTTAAATGTCAGAATCTTATGTGAGTGAATGAAAACCACTCATTTTACAAAGCACTTAATTGCAGGTATTCCAACTTTCAGTACTATCACCACATGGTTAGCTCGCAATGGTTACTGTTCTTTAGTGCAAATCTTCATTTATCATTTCTAAACTTTGGCTTCTTAAAATCAGTGTTTCAGTCTCTTGACATTTAATGAGTTCAACTTCTAAAGAGGCTGGCATTTTGCAAATAATAACACCTTCTGACTTACACATCATGGAAGAATTTGACACCTCTAACACAAAATAAAGTTCTGAGCTCCTTAAGTTTTTAGATTTAAAGTCAAAAAGGAGGTCAGTGAAATCGTCAATGGACAAATGTTCCTCATTTTTATATGTCCATGATGACCTTTGAAGATATTGTTAGCTCTTCCATTGTCATAATTCTCTCCTTCAAGTGTCTGACATCTTCTGACAGCTATAACATTATCTTTCCACTTTTTCTACTTACAAAGAATTGAATGGAAAAGGGTTGTCTTCACTTTACACACTCTTTTCAATAAAAAGGCTTTTCGTTCTATTGTATAGTCCCTTCAAGTAAGGAAGCACAGGTAGGCCCACTAGAAATAATAATCACATTTCATTTAACTCGAAGCATTTGTGGTTTTGGAGTTCTATTTTAAATTGCAGAGAATTATACGTATTATAGTACACAGCTATAACTCTTAGGACTAAGAAGTATTTGGCAATCTTATCACAGCTCTAAAGTAGGTCAGTGTCTATTGACATGCCATCATGCGACAGCTTGAATCCAGAATATTAAATATGGAGAGGTGCTTTAATCTCTCACCACAGCCTGAGATAGAACTACAAGTACTGTTAACTCAAACTGATATTCCCTAAAAGGACATAAAGACTGAATATTTTATATCCTAAATCTACAACAGCTATATATATATGGGACCAAATTTGGCGATCCATGGTGATCCAAACTGACCTTTGGTTAGAGGAGTGAGAGTACTCAGATGAAATATACCTCCTTGTAGCTGTGGCAGAGTTGAAAGGCTAAAAACTATTGACCTATAAAATGGACCCCTACGGTCCTAAGAATTAGTACTCTAGAAGTTTATTACCCTGTTGATGACAGAACAGACCTGTCCCTTCCATTAGTATCATAATACAAAGGTATCTTTGATCCATGCCTTAAACTCATCCTGGGTTGCCCTTCTTTCCCTGATAGTGAAATATGGAGACCAACAATTCACAGCAAATACTTTTAGGAAACTTCAATCTATCAGCACAACTCTCTTTTTCCATGTCCTCCCCTCTCCCCTTTCCATGTTCTCCCCAATCCCTCTCTCTCACACACACACATATTTCCACATACACAATGGAGAATCATACATCAAGGTTTATTAGCAGACTTAACTGGATAAATAGCAGTCTAAAAAAAAAGAAACAGAAATAGTATCTCATAGTTTAAAATATTTTGAATGACAAGGAATGCCACTGACATCAGACATAGTATCTTCAGACATTAACTTAAATTTCTCTTATATTTTAACCCCTTTTCAATGGTGAACGTATACACACATAAAAGTGAACAAAGTGAAAATGTACAGCTTACTGATGTCTAACATCACGAACATTCTTTCACTCACCATGTTAAGAAATGGGACATTCCAAGGCCCTAGAAGCCCTTCCTTGCTCTCCCCTATCATTGTTCTCTCTCCTTTCTCCCAAAACAGCCACTATTTTAGCTTCTGTCCTAGTAATTTCCTTTCATTTTTTCCTGATAGTTTTTAATAGCCAAGCTTGCATTCCTAAACACGATACTTTCATTTGGCCTATTTTAAAAACTGCCTAAGTGTAATCATATGACACTGCTCTTTGTCACCATTTTCTTTTGCTTGTTGTTGTTCCTGAGATCTATCCGTGTGGTGTTCAGAGGAGTTAGTGTCTGCCGTAAAGCATCCCCATATGCAAATGATAACGTATTTGTCTGTAATGGCCATCAGTACTGAGTCCAATTTAGTCTATTAGATATAATCCCGCTATGACCTTATAATGGGCTAAGATATAAAATTAAAATTGCTGTTTTTTTTTTTTTTTTAGAATAGGGACTATTCTCACAGAAAATCTGTTCATATTTACTAAATGAAACATACAGTTCTACTCACTATTGTAAAGTTTTAATTCTCACAAAGTGGAGATATGTAGAGTTTAAGGATTGGACTGCGAATCCTTGAATGTATAAAGTTAAAGAAAATTACTTTGCTTTTCTTTTTGTGCATATTTTATCAACCTTGTAGGAATTAAATATACGGCAGAGAAATCAGGATTGTAAAGAATATACTGCATAAAATCCATGGCTTTTACATTTTGCAGCTGTAAATAGTATAAAATATTTACTATTAGAATGTCAGCTTCTAATCTCTATAAAATTGCTTTTTTAAATTAAATTTAATTTTTGTTAAATTTTTTTATACATTCGGGGAACCAGCAGTTAGCGTAATGGCTATGTCGCTGGACTCCCACATAGTCGACCGCAGTTAGCGTCCCAGACCTGGTGGCTTAAAACTCCCGCCGGGGCGTGTGCGTGCCTGCCCAAGATCCCAAGAGGAGAATGGAGGAGAAGGGATTGCGGCGTGACCATTCCCCTGGGGGGTGATTTCTTGCTTTCTGTCTCTCTGTCTCTGTCTGTCTGGCGAGTGCACGTGCCCTATAGTGAAAACCTCTCAGAAAAAAAAAAAATTATATATTCAGTCACATTATTTAGCTTACAAAGTGAACATTTGAATATGTGAACATTTCTCCCCAGACCAGTTGATCTAAATATCTTCAACAGATAACACCACACCTCCCCATCCCGTCAGTGCTCTGCCTCTGTATCCCTCCTCCAAATGTCCTTTCCCAGGCCCCACTCCTCCGCACACACCACATCTGGCATTCACAGCCATCTCTTGTGTTTGTACATTCTTTAGTCAATCAGTTTCAGTCATATTTTATTTAGTAAAACAACTTATAACTAGTTACAAAAGAACATTTGAGTCATGTTGTTTCCAATGAAAAGCATATTAAAACTAAGTTATTGAAATATTGTTTTAAATTGAGGTTACCTTATCAGATTAAGACTGTTACTTCAGAAAGAATAAAAGGTTAAATTTATCACCAAAAAGCATAAATGGAAAGGAGTTGAAGAGGCAAATTCATCTTCTAATGATGATCTTTATCTCTTTCATGGAGAGAAAATGGAAAGTAAGCTGATTAAACTATGGGATAATACATCTGGTCTGAAAAACTTTATAAAATGATTTTTTAGAAAAATTAAGGATTTCTGGGGGATTATTAATCATAGTTTATTGGGTTCTGACTTTTCTTTTAGCAGCTGTGCAATTTTCAAATCAGAGTAAAATTGTATTAATATGATGATGAATATTCCCTGACTTGTGTTAGGTGAAGTCTGTCCAGGTAATAAAATAGACAAGATTGACTATTAGTTAAAGAAAGATATTTTTAATAAGACACTGTGGTTTTGAAATCATACAACATAATCTGAACAGACTTATAAAGAGAATTATTGTGATGTGAAACAATAAGATAAAATATCATTATACCTAATGACTACGTAGCTTTGGTTAACATAAAATGAAGTGCTAGCTCATCAATAGAGTTAAAAATACTGTGTTGATATTGGTATGTACTAAGACACTGTACTCTACAAGTTGAGACCACATGGGAGGCCCAGGTTCAATTCCTGGTTCAACCTAAAATCCAGCCATGGTGGTGTTTTCCTGTAATCCCATCAAAGAGGCTAAGGCAGGAGGATAAAGACATAGCAAGACTGTCTTAAAACAACAACAAAACCTTCTATCCATAGGTATCACATATGTGCCATAAGATGTTACATGTTAAAATTAATAGCTACTTGAACTATCTTTAACTTATTTATTCTGAAATAAAAAAAGGTTTCACACTTCTTTTACAGTGTATAAAACTGTGTCTTCAGTGTTTGTCATTGTTAACATGTGCAAAATAGTTTTCTCTTAGAAAAGATGCAGAAAAGTGAAAGTAACTATTAGATTAAATAATAATATCAAATATAGCAAAGAAGTAGGGAACAATCTCAAGGAAAATAATATCTAAGAGATATTTGGTTAGAAGACATCTGCTGAAAGGCAAAAGAGTTTCTTTTGTTTTGCTGTCTATTCATTCAATAATATCCTCGAAAAATGTTAGCAATAGTGCTTTAGTGCCCATTTCCAAATTCTCATTTGCAAAGTCAATATATTCAAAAATGAAAAAATGCATCCCACCAGACTTGGCTACATGAAGGTGTGGGCGAGAAGCCAGAGAGTACCTGGCTTATTTTATAATGTGACAATGTGTCTGCATCTGCCTTTCCTTGTGAGGCTCCTGCTTTCTTGCTTTTTGTTAGGAGGTATTGATTCAGGGAAAGTCAGGCAAGAGCACTTGCCAATATAGCCTTTGTCCTTTCTAAAGGCATCCTAGCAGAATCGGCTTTACAAACAGTCTCCCTGTGGTTTTATGCAGCACTGTTGAGAGCAGCTTTACAAGATGGAGTAAGGGCCAGTATGCCTTCTGCTGAATGGGGTCTCTACTCTGCCAGTCAAATCGGATCTGACTTACCACTGCACTTCATAACAAAGGCAAAAATCTCTACATTTTCATGGAGCAACAGTTTTGCTTCTAATAATAAAATTAAGATAGAGATGAGGTGGGGTCTCTATATACAAATAATCATGTCAGTTTAAACAGGTTGAATATCCGTACACTGAAAGTCCAAAATCTGAAATGCCTCAAAATCCAAAAGTTTTTTTTGCAAGGCATGATACTACAAGTAAAAAGTTTCACACCTGACCTCTAACGGGTAGCAGTCAGAATGCAGTTACACGGCACACAGTTTATTCAGCAACCGCAGTGGTCGCTGTGGGATTAGTGAATCGTTCTTGGAAAACTTGTTGGCAGGCACA